ATGGTGTATTTGGTAGTAAGAACTATATAATCTTCTACTGAAGGAATTTTAAAAATAATTAAAATTATGTATATTTTTTTTTAGTTTTAGTTGTTTGTTTCAAATTGATTTATTTGGGAATCTGCAAACTTCTCATAAACTTAAAGGTTAAGTTTGATATCCTGTTTCCTGGCTTGCAGTTTAGTAGCAGGATTCCTACAAGCTAATCTAGCCCTTTTTCACAATTAGTCTGAAATTCAAATCACAGCTTCTGAAAAAAATCCCTAAAGCTCTGTAAAGAGGCAGCTTTTTGCTACTTAATAGGAGTCTACCACAATTCAATATTTATTTAGCTATCCATAAAGCATAGGACAGAGAAGTAAGGACAACATTTAGCACTGAACAATAATGAACACTAATTACTATAGTCACAGTACTCTTAGGGATTATGATGTTGATGGTACATTTATTTCCTAAGAATAATTCATGAGATTCTTCAGTGTTGGTCAACATTGCTTAGTACTTATGTACACAACATCTAATTACTAATTATCATTGAACTTCTGCAGAAATTTATTTAGTGAATAAAACTGTTGCTAAAGGAAGTAACCTAATCTCTACAAAATAGTGTGGCTATAAACTGGCACAGCATATGGACTTATTTAGTTAAGAAAAACATAGCATCTCTGAAAAAGAAATTAGTATTATTGCCCTGTGGCAATCCAGGCGTAAACAACTAGCATTCTTTCACAAAACCTTGTTCCCAGTGAAGACTTTTCATGTTATTTTTAATAGTTCTCCCGGGAGTTGAATTACAAACCATCATCAATTTAGGACTGACTTATCACTAAAGGGTCTTTTATTTGCAACTTCCCTTTAATTGAGGTCATGGGAATTTTGGTTTCCAGAGAATGTATGTGTATATGTAAAGATACTCTGAATCTGCTACCTTAGAAAAATTAGGACTGTTAAAATCTAACTTGTTCTGTGTTTGCTTTCAGTTGCCTTACAAGAAGGACTGCAACAACAAGACCATCTGTACTGCTCATTTAAGTTTGACAAGTCAGATTCTGTGAGTCATAGTAGTTTTATTATCCAGATTTTGCATTTAGCGTTCTCATAAAATGTCATCTTTGTGCATAAGACGTTTTCTTCAAATTCTCAGACAAGATTTGCTGTCCCTTTGTTTACATTACTTTCCATCCAATTCATCCTTTCCATAACAGCACATTCATACAGTGCTGTAACTGTATGATTCCACGGGCGTTGCTGGGCTGTTCTAGGAAATCTCAGAGGAAAGACCAAGGTTTAAACAACTATAGTCATCCTAAAATCACAATTCTGGCATTTAATTGTGAACACATGATTTTGGTTTAGGCTGGTGCACAGCATAGCACTACAGCAAAGAGTTGCTCAGTTTATATAGCCTTTGACAAAACAGCCGGCATCGCTTCATAAAAATTTACCCTGGAGATTCACTGAAAAGCTAATCAAGTGGAACATTTAAAGCCTATCTTGATGTAAAACAGAAATGATAAAATATTACATAAAGTTTGGTGATGACCGCCTTCGATATTAAGAAGGAAGCATTTTCCTACACACCCTGAAGGATACTGAATAATTAATTGGGCTATTGCATTTTCCTGTGTGTGAAATCATTTTTAGGGAGTAATTACCAGAACCAGAATGCTTTGGGCCTCTTAGTGAATAACAACCCTTAGAAATTACACGTCACCCGTCTCATTTTTCTGTCTGCTTCTAGAAAGGAGTTAGACGTGGGCCACACTAAAGAAGTGACCATGAATGTTCCACTAACGAACAGTGGAGATAACTCGGATGACAACTATGGTCTTGAACTATCCTAAAAACCTGCTTTGTAAGAAGGTGACTGTTGAGGTAAGATCACAGAACAACTTTTCAGCTAGCAGCGGACTGCTGAAAGAAAACCCAACGCAGACTGCTGTTCATTTACTACCTAAATAAATCTTGAAGTAAGGTCCAGGGAAGGGAAGGAGCATTTCAGTTGTTAGGACTAGAGCCTGAATACTGGATTTATCTGATTTAAGATTCCCAAGCTTTTATGGGGCTATTTGTACCTAATTTGTTTTATGGGAGCAGAGACAGACTGCATTTAATTTCCCAATCTGTTTTTATTCAACGTTAAAGAGCATTCCTATTCTGTTGGCAGCCATCCTCTTCTACCATTCACTGTGGCCAACCAATACCATTAACTCCTCTAGTCTTATCCTGTAACAGCAGAATTGGGTATCCAGTATTCAAGATTACTGCAAGTAGAGATCGTTATTTTCACTTTTCCCCCTACCTCTAAACGATACTTTTGAGTAGCTGCTCTTGCATCCTCTCTCTATATAATTAGGCCAGAGCCTCTGTTCCTTCAAATTCAGCTTATGGCTGGTGTGCATTTTCTCAAGGCAAGAGATAATTTTCATATTCCTGCACTTTACTTAATGTCTAATTTCTCCAGAAGGGAATGATAAGCAGAAAATGCATCACCCATCATGTTTTAACAGTAGCCTAGTGAGTTAAAGAGTATTTACAGAGTAGTCAATATTTTGTAATGTCTTTCTCTTCCCTCAAAATAGGCAAGATTTTCAGTAATTTGGCAACTAGATGAAAGCGTATTCCAAAATAAGTCTGCAATCACTGTTAATATCACCAAGTGAGTATTGCCGTTTTCACCACAAAATACACTGTGAACTAGAAAAAAAATACCAGAATCCCTGCTCAGTGTCCATACTATTTATCAGTCACTGGATACAGCTATATGTGTCCTGTTCAACCTTCTAAAGCATTTGGATCCACGTGAGCAATCTTTCCTTCCCTTATGATAATTTTAGCTTTGCTCATACTTCATTATTTCAGTAAAAGGTAGAGCACCCTTTGAGGTCCTAATTTAAGCGTAGTACATGTTTAAAAGCTTGTGTTTCTGAAATGGCAAACTGTGTTCTGACATCCTCCTTTCTTAGCAGAGAGGACAGAGGAGTACAGTATCTCATCCAGCTCTGTTCTGAGTAAAGCTTTCATTCCAAATGATTGGGATGAGAACATATGTTCAGGGCATTTTTCTTGATTGGGGGCTTTCTACTGTGGGGAAGTTACCATCCAGATTCCTTTCTGGCCACGTTCCTCCCATTAAAATGTATGGGGACTGACTAGGACACAGCATTTTTAAACAGAGAGCATCTTCAAAAAGGAGATGAGAACTCATCTCTGGCAGCTACGCCGCATTGCAAGCACAGTTTAAGGCAAAGGTTTCTATATTAATTTAATATCCGGTTTTGTGAGGGGTAGAAGCTTTAAATTTTGATTAATGAAAGCATATGCACAAATTAGCATTGTTTTATGGGGAAACATTTCAAGGTAATGGCAGCTTTCAAAACGTGTAGTAATAAAGGGCTACGCCGACACTACTGTACCATGTCACCAAGTGGGCTGGCGCCTCTCCTTTCCTTAATTACTGCCACTCCGTTTCCATCCCTCTTGTACAGCCAATATCAGCAGTTCTCAAAGTGTAGAAGTAAAGGACCAAGGCAGGCAGATAATAACCTTGTTTCATCCATCCGGCCTTTTTTTTTTTTTTTTTAAGCATAAACAAAAATAGCACCATTCTGATTGAAGAACACGTCCTTGATGTCAGATACGCATCCACTGCAGTCCTTGCCAAGTCAGCTTTAAGAATATTGAATTATATTGCATTACTTTAGTCAATTAGAGGAAAAAGGATTGAGAGGATGCCTGGTAAGATTCCAATACAATTTCCATCTTAATAATTTCAAGCACTGCAGATTGTCAAGTCATTTTCTGTGGTATTAGACAGCTAAGAGTCTGGAAGACAGAACGATAAAACCATATCATAGGCAGGGGGGTACCTTGGGTCTCTACCTGCTTAGCTTGTAAAAAATAGACTTCAAGATAGGTTCAAAGATGCATCCGATTGATAGGCTGCATATATACACACATACATAGACAGACTGCATAGACGGCATTCCAGTTATAACAAATCTGATGATGCTACTTAATTACTTAATGCAGCTGGGTCATCGGATGTACTAAGTTTTAATAATAATCTAATTCACTTTTAACATTTGATTTATCATTCTATTTAGACTGGTTTCTTTAACGTACATGAATGTTAGTGAAGGACTTCTTGAAAACAAAGAACTCAAATTTAATGTAAGTATAGCTTCAAATTCAGGTCACCTGATCCATCTGCTATCAGGACTAAAGAACACTTATTACCATGTGCATTTTCTTCTGTAGATAAATGGAGAAAATCGCTTTAACGCTACTATCAAGTTACAGATTTGGGTTCCTGTCAGTATACAAGGTCACAACGTACTAACAGTCAAAACTGCATCAGGAACAGGTACTTTTTCTTATTTTTTTCCTAATCCAATACCTCTTCACTGGTTCTTACAGAGAAAAAAAAAATCGTATTATTGCAGATTAGAGTGTTTTTAAAACCTGCACTACAGAAGTGTTATGTATTGACATTTTGTAGCATCATTCCAGGTACAAATTTTGCCAAACTGAACAAGAGTTCATTTTTAAAAGTAAGTCAAAAGGTGGCCCAATTGGCCCAAGAATATTTATCTTTGTCCTCACTGTCCGGAGTTGTATTTTTTTTTCTTTAAAGACAATAGAGTAAGGAAAGAACTTTTAATAATCCAAGACTGAAAGGGTAAGAAAACTTGTGTGGCATTCAAAACATTACTTGAGCGCAAAGGAGTCCTTTTTCCCCCTTCTCAAATGTCAACTCTCTTCTCTCCCCCCCATCACCCCTCAAAAAAGTAAATATCTAAACATCTTAAAAGCAGAAGACTTTGGGGTTTGGTTTTTTTGGGTTTTTTTAGACATTTTTGATAGTGTGTTATACACATTGGTAACCGATCATAACACTTCTTCACTGTGCCAACATTTAAAAAGATCATACATAAAAAAGAGCAGAGGAGAAAGGCAGTATCAGTGACTTAGTTCTTGGGAACATTGCGCTCCCGTGCTCACAGGAAAAGGCTGCTGTTCTGTAAAACTTCATTGGCAGACCCAAAGGTCAGCACTTCTTTGTGGAACTTCACGAGCTGCTGCTTTATTTTCCTCATGGCAGTAGTTGATTCCTTTTTCTTGTAGCTCATACGTTTCAAAAGTTTATCTGACAAGTAGTGCAGCCAGAGGACGTTGCTGTGTGGGTGATAGTCAGTCCAGCTGTTGGAGTTCTCCACTTTCATTTGCCTGTAGATATCAAACTGGTAGTCCCCTGTGCCTTGGAAGAGTTCTTCATCAGTGGAAAGGTCACAAAACACCGTTAACTCGTCCTTCTCCAGTCGAGACAAGGTATAATCTATGATGTTGACGTGAATCCCTGCTGTGGGGATTGTGTGTGTTGCCCCATTCAACACATAACTAAGCTCCTTTACGGCCGTTTTCTTTATCAGCACGTTCCCCCAGTGCAAGTCCCTGTGCTCGAAGCGCAGTTCCTGTTCTGCCACCGCCAGGGAAGCAGTGACCTGGTGCAAAATGCTTTTTGCCAACGCCACTGAACTTAACCTGTTTCTCATATGCTCCAAGTCACTGCCTCCAAATTCAAACTCCAGAACCATGAAGAGCTGCTTGTCCCCAAAAAGGTCTGGCCGATCATTTTCTGATCCCGTTACTTTGTGATACTTATCCCAGGCTTCCAGGAGATACTTAGGATAGGCCCCTTGAACGCAGTGCACAGAGTACAAGCTGATGAACCCAACAGTCCTATTGACAGACTCTTCAGACAGAAGACTGAGTTCTTTTGAAATTATGATCTCGGGCAGAATCTCTCCAAAGCTCTTTTGAGCTTCACCATTTACTTTTTCAGTCCCCTCAATGGGAATTATTTTTAAGGCCACAGGTCCTCTCTCACTGTCGATCTGGAAGACCTCTCCGAACACCCCTTCTCCAATTTTCTCGCAGTCCTTCATCTTATCTAAAGGAATGCATTCCTCAAAAGCAATAGGCCCCTCTTGGTGGCATTCCCCAAACACCTTCTCTGCATCTGTAAGCATTAGCTCCAGGACAGAAGAGGAATTGCTGGGAGCCAGCAGGATCATGGAGGAAGCAGACCAAGTGCAGCACTGAGCCATACCCGCAGATCGGGTCACGTGGTGCCCCGAAAGCGAGCATTTCACAGAAGGGGTAGAGAGGATGCTGTTGCAGAAGCTCTCTTCTGTGGTAACTTTCTTCTTTTTATGGAAGGACAAAGATGCTTGAACTCTACCCCAGGAAAGGGAGCTATTGAGGAATGAACAGCCATTGTCTCTTTTTTCTACAGGCATCTCCAGAACACCCTTCTTCCTTCCTCTTTGCCTCATCTGTGGTCTGAAAAAGGAGTTATTAGGCTGCTGCTGTCTCTTATTTTTGTGCCTTTTTGGACGGAGCCTTGTTTGCCTCCCCCACCGGCTGGCACTGAAGCCGCTGATGCAGGCTTTTCTACAGGTACTTCCTTCTCCAGAAACAACCCCAGTACTTTTATTTTTATTCTCCAAGACGCCTTGAAGGCCTAAAGGAGATACAGGCTGCTGGCAGACAGGTTGACTGTCTGCCTTTTCGTTGTGTTTCATGCTTGTCAGCCACATTGGCACTTCCTGAGGATCCAAGACCACCACCGGCGTAAGCTGGCGCTTCTTGGTTTTGCCTTTCTGACAAAGCAAGCTTCCTTTTGTTGAATCTCTCCTTGAGTCACCGCTTGGTTCATCAGAAGTGGCACCGTCGTACAGTGCAGAGCACTGTGGCTCACCGTTAACGGGAGTCAGCGCTGCCTGAGGAGGGGACGGGACTTTCTGTGGGGACAAGGCAGCTCGTCCCCGGCAGCATCCCCTCACCGATGCCCTCAGAACCCTGCCGGATTTTGGCGACACCGCTCCCGGCTCACCGCTCCCGCCCGTGCCCTCCGGACAGGACCCTCCA